TTCCATTTTACTGATGAAAAACAGGTTAAGGCACACAACCAAGTTGTTAGAAGCAGGATTCATACTTAAGCCATCTGAATGTGTAGCCTTTGCAGTGCTGCCTTCCAATAAAATTTTGGATTTTATAAATTGCTGACTAGTAAAGAATCTTCAAGATAACCCTCTTTAATATTTGAAATGTGTGTTATTCAAAATATATATAAATAAAATTATGTTTTAAAAGCATTAGAGTAGCCAGCTATGTGAAGGAGTTTGTGTAATATTTTACCTAAAGACTCAGTACACATAGTGAAGAATAACACCCTGATTTATCTGGTTCCTAAATTGGAGGGTGAGGGGGGTGCATTCATTATTTGACTCCCATACAGAGTACATCCAGGTTTTCTCTGAGACTGTTTAAGAGTACTTCAGAGACAACTGACTGTCATTTACATAGCATTTTTACGTCTTACAAAATACTCTCATCAATTAGGTTAAATCCTATAAAATTGCTGGTATTTGACCAATTGAAATTTCTGAAACAACAGTTTTATGTGGTTTAGCCTATACATTGTTTCAGTTAATTCTTGGAACAGACATGAGGTGATTCTCTCATTTTACTACTAACCTAAGGCATACTCTATAGATGTTAGATGATTTACAGCTATCAGGTAGGAAATAGAGCTGGACCTAGAGACCGTCTTCCAGCTACGAATCCAGTATACATGTGAAACCTTGCTTATTAAACTGGATGATTGGAAAGATCTCTCCCATCTCTTTCCTTCCCTGACATACAGATTCCCTCTCTCCCTCCAACCACTGTGTTGGCTTTGCATTTTTACACTGGCAGATTGCTTGACAATTGCTGTCAAATTTGGGGTGTGTCATTCTTTTCCTTCTGGTCTGAACCTTTTATTTCTGGTTTTAAAAGTAACATTTTCTGAAAACATGAATATGTGCCTTTTCATTTTACAAAACAGCTTTTCCCGTTTATTTTCTTAGAATATTGGTATGTTTTGCAATGATGCAGAAAACAAACTTATGCATATACTTAATGCAAATGCTCCCAAGTTGTCCACCCCGAATAAAGACTGTGCTTCAGGGCCACACACTGCTCAAACAGTCCTTGGCATGGGAAATAAATTTCTGGTAAGTTAATGTAAATATAAGGAATTTTGTAAATATTATAAATGAAGGCAATAATATATTTTGGTGCATACCTAGTAAACATGGTAAAATGTAATTAAACTTACCTAGAAAGTATGGTTAATTGTTATCTGGCTCCTGTAAGTCTAGGTTATCTAGAAATTCTATCTTGTTTATCAAAGCCAGAATGTAACGTTCTTTGGGGGCAAATTTTACAAACAGGTGCTTTCATTTTTAGCTTTGCAAGTACATGTGATGGAAAATACTTTGCTTGTGTCCTTTTGCTCGGAGGACTAGTCTATACAGTTAGGGTTGTTTCTAAGCTCAGTTTGATTTAACTCTTTAAATCACAATACATGTACATCAAGCCATAAGGTCTGTAATACTGGCTGATGACTAATTTTTAAGTAGCTAACAGTTGCTAGGTGTATCTATATTAACTCAATCTTCACAATGATCCATGGGATGGAAATTATCTCCATTTTACAAATGAGGAAACTATGTCCTAGAGAGGCTGAACAATTGCCTAAAGTCACAAAACTAGAAAAGTATACCTACTAGAACCCAGTCAGTCTGTGCTCTTAAAATGGTTTAAAAATGCTTATCTTTGTTTAAACTGTTAATGAAAAAGAAAAGATTAGTGCATAAGTTAGGTCCCCCTACCTCCTTTTTTGTCTTTTAGTACAATTAGTCTTCATTCTTCTTTCTTTTCCTGTCATTTTTATATCCTTTTATGCAAAACTATTTCCTTCTGGAATGAGCACAATCTTATCAAGGTCTCTTGGAACCATCTGACCTATGAGTCATGAGGGGAGTGACAATGTGTGTGGTATTTGTGTGCTTAAATATTTCTAATGAGGGGTGCATGCGTGGCTCAGTCAGTTAAGTGTCCGACTCTGGTTTCAGCTCAGGTCATGATCTCAGGGTTGGGATCGAGCCCTGCATCGGGCTCCACACTCTGAGGAGGCTGTCTGCTTGAGATTCTCTCTCTCCGTTTCCCTCTGCCCCTCCCCCCCTTCTCTCTCTCTCTAAAATAAATAAATGAATCTTTAAAAAAATAATTCTAATGAAAAGCTAACTTGGTGATGTTTTATATATTAGTGCATAATTATCTAGGCTGCTTTTTGTCTTTTTATCAGATGTCTTCTCCCAGTAGTGAGATGAATTACCAGAGTCCTTCATCACTTTGTAAGCCAAAAGAGAAGTTTGTTCCCACACCTGGATCAGCCCAAATGCTTTCAAAGTCTTATTGTAAAGGGGAGAAAGAGATGGATGACCCAAAAAGCTGCAAGAAGAGAAAAGCTTTGGATTTTTTGAGTAGACTGCCTTTACCTCCACCTGTCAGTCCCATTTGTACATTTGTTTCTCCAGCTGCACAGAAGGCCTTTCAGCCACCACGGGCTTGCGGCACCAAATACGAAACACCTATAAAGAAGAAAGAGTTGAATTCTCCTCAGATGACTCCACTTAAATTTAGTGACCTTTCCCTTTTGGAAAGTGATTCAATAGCAGACGAAGAACTCGCATTGATAAACACTCAAGCCCTTTTGTCAGGTCCGGCAGGAGAAAATCAACTTATGTCTCTCAGTGACTCCCCTAGGACTGCTCCTGAGAGCTCAAAGGATTTTCTGAGGCAGAAAAGGCATTCTGCTGCATCTGGGGTCACAGGATGCGGGAGCCCCCAGGCCCGCACCGAAGAGCGGGAGACCAATGTGCAGGACGCAAGTACAGTGAAAAGGGCATCTATGAGACTGCAAAGGCGACAAAAACAAAAATGACAATAAATCAGTTACTGACTCAGCCTTTCCAATTTGTAGAAAATGCAGCTTCAGCCTATCAGGATTTGCATCAAGTACATCAGGATTTGCATGAGAAAAAAAGGACACAGTCCCAAATCTCCCTGTGTGCTTGTCTATCTCAGGCATGCGCCTGGCCTGTCCTGATATACTTTAATCTCAGTTACATGTCCGAAAATTGACTGTATATTTATTTACTAACCAGTCAAGAAAAAAAATCTTTAAATCTTTATCACTGGATTTGATCACTGGATTTGATCAGGTGTATTTTACAAAGTAAACATACCTTTCTCTTTAAATTGTGTCCTTAATTAAGTGAAACTAGGTTTCTAAGTACAGTTATTTTGACTCCTGTAATTCCTTTTAGTTTAGTTCCTACTTTAGGTGATTTGGTTTGGTTTGGTTTGGTTTTTTCAGAGGTAACCCACTATGAACCACCTTTCCTTAACGAATGTTGGTTCTCTTATAGTTCTATCCTGATCAAAAGTCAGAGGGAGTAAGAAACAACAGTGGTGTTTTCCTTAGACCAATTCTTCAACCTTAAGTCAGCATAACTGCAAGAAAAACAGAATCTTCAATGTAATTCCTTTTTATGATTCCAGTGTGATCACTGAATTATTTTAATTAAAAATTCAAATGCTTTAAAGCAGATTTCATAGTGTTCTTGTTTTTTTAACAAAATGATCATCTGCAACTTAAGAGAAAATCTTTCTTTCAAATTGGCCGTGATTCTCCCTGCTTTATTTTTAGTCCTATCACAGGACTCAGCAAGTCCTTCCTTCAAACCTGGTTTTCTCTAACCACCAAGGCAGACAGGAATAGTTCAGTATAAGAGGACATTCTCATCTGTTACCTTTCTATGCTTAATAGAGAAAAGAATGCAGTTCTAATAGGAGCTAATAGCATGGAGAAGCTCTTCAAACAGGTCTTTTAATATGTCTTAAATTTATATAAAATACCATGTTTTCAAATCTAATTATAAACACATTTCAAACCCTAGAATAAATCTTTTAAGAAGCAGTTTTTTTCTTTCATAACTGATCCATGATTTTTCTCTCCTCTAAAAATTATTAACATAATAAATAGTCCATTCTGCAGTTTTTTAACTCAGGTGTTCTGCCAGTCTTAATAATATGTGATTTAAGTTTTGTTCAGACAATTTGGTCCTTCACACCCCAATCATTTTCCAAGTGACCCACTCTAGAACAGGGAATAAAACTTGAATCTCAGGTGAACAAAAAGAATTATAAGAATTTTACCTCTTTTTTTTCATTCCTAGAAAACCCGAATTGCTAGTACCTCCTCCATTCTTCATTACCATTTAGATCACAGAGAGATCTCATGCACACACTCCTTTTTTTATGTTGTAAATAATATAGCAAAGCTATATAAGCAAACTATGAAGCTTAAGTATATATGGATATTATCCTCTAAGAAGTGACAATGATTTCAAAGTCAAGAAGGTACACTGTATAAGGAATAAAAGGTAAAAGCAACTTGTGTTATTCAACAATCACTTAATGAGAGCCTATTATCTTGTACATAAAGCCCTACGCCAGCTATATGAATGATGCAAAGGTTAGTAATACAAACCACCACAAGCTAAAGTTGAGTGTTCAAAAAATTACATACGAATTAAGAGAAAAAATAGATCACTTCTAGCTGGGATAAAACTGGCAGCACTTAATTCTTTTTATGTTTCCAAACCAAGTATTTCAGGAGTCATACAAGAAAAAAAAAAAGAGAAACAGGGACACTACTCTTCTGAGCTCTTTAAAAGCTCTGGATCTAAACCTGGGGCCACTTCATACTGGTTACATAGCAGTAAGATTTCACTCGTGTCAGGTATTGAAATGTTAAAGTAATAGTCTTTCTAATGTGCACAGATCAGATAATTTCAGCATGTAAAATACAAGGTTGCTTTTGTCTTTATGTCTCCTATTAGAGGAGACTGGTAAATAAGTTTGATATAGAAAAACTGGTTCTTAATATGGTAGAATTCTATGGGATTTAGGTGATTAACTTTTTTATATCATTGGTCTAAAAAAAGTTTAGATTCAATGACAAATTCATAGAAAGCAATACCATATGTAATTTTTAATAGCCATAAAAGCACCATTATATAGGACACTTAAAATAATATTTCACAGAACATTAGAAAGAAGCTGTTGGCCAACAAGAAATAAAGCATACATCCTACATGGTCTTACTTATCATGGTCTCACACCAAATTAATCTGATTCTAACCTGCTGAGATTTAATTTGGAATCATAGATTCAGTATCGGCATAAGAGGGACATTCCAGAGTTGTGGCAGAACTTTATTGTCTTAATGCCACATAAAACACCAAGACTGGTCATCTTCCAATGGGCATGGCTTAGACATACCCCTGTATGATTTCTATCTTGGGATGTTTAATTCCTTGCACTCCCAAACATTTGGGCAGCCAAGTATCACACACGTCTATTAACAGGCATAATTTTAAAAACTGCTTAACTCTCTTAAAAATTGGTGTTTTATAAAGTCAGGCTTCTTTAATTTACACTATTAGCACAACAGCCAAAAGTTAGTCAGGTTAAACTTATTCAATAAAGTGGTAATTTAAAACCAAGATGTGACTTTAAATAATGACACTGATTTTCCTCAGCAGCTTGTAGAGCTGTTAAGAAGGATTCGACAGGGGCGCGTGGGCGGTTCAGTCGGTCAGGCACCTGAGTCTTGATTTCAGCTCGGGTCATATCTCAGGGTCGTGAGATCGAGCCCCGCAGTGGGCTCCGTGCTGAGCGAGGCGCCTGCCTAGGATCCTCTCTCCCTCTCCCCCACTCTCGCTCTCTTGCTCTGCTGTCTCTCAAAAAATTTTTAAAAGAAGGATCCGACAGACCTTTTTAACAATAACACATCACTAGAATAAAGGAGTAATTCCCCAAGTGTCTACTTAGAAGGACAACATTCCCTTAGGTGTATGCTCTCTGGCATGTGCGTTTTAAAGGAAAATCAGTATCATCGTGACAGCCACACCTCGCACATTTTGAGGATACACAGATTCTCAGAATAGCAACGGCACTAACATTTTTCCTGCCTCCCACTTCTCCCCCACTTTTCCAACTTTCCTGATGGAGATGAATTTCCTGGAAAAATAGATTCCTTCAGAGAAAGTGGTACTAAAGCTTCTACATATTAGACTTAGGTGACTGCTTCCGTGCTTGGGTACGTTCTCAGGTTTCAGTTTCCAATCTTTGGCTTCCCTAGAGAAAGAGACTCTGTTTACAATCAAATCGGCCGAATTCCCAGCGTCGGACCATGCATACAGGATCACTAACAAATGCTCAGCGAAGATGAAGTATAATGGCTTCTGCTCAAAAACTTTCAGGTCCAACTATTTACACTGGAATTAGAGCTTTGATGAAAACTGAACAAAGAATAAATACCAAAATTGGCAGTAAAAACTGATTTAGGAAAATTTTGAATGCCTGTAAGATAGGCTTCTAATATCCATGGTGACAACCGCCTCTTCTGTTACAGGAGCCCTCGTTTGTGAAGCCCCCAGGAGCCCTCCGGTTGGGAAACTCTGCATAGGGATTCCAGTATCGTGCGCCATTGGAAGGGGACGCGTTATTCCTGTCCTGGCTTCTGTTCATTCTGCTGGGCTTTTCGGCGTGAAGCACGCTGTGAAAGGTAACATCGTGTTCATACCGCTCCTTCATTCGGTGTATTTTTTCTCTTGGGACTCCATGAATGTTTCTTCTACGTGGGAACAAATGCAAACATTTACTTAAGGCAGCCTATCAAAAGGAATTACTTGCATTTTACTTAGAGATGCACTCCCTTGTCTCAGGATTTAACTCTCACAGAAGCGTGAGGTCTCCTTAAGGAGTTCTCTTTCAGGCTCCACTCCTGTTTTGCATGCTGCCTTGAGCCTAGCAAAGAGCAACACCTTCACAGATGCTTTGTTTCTAGAAGTCTCAATTCTGTGCCTCAAGACGTAAAAGAACACCGTGAGGTCTTTTTATTATATATTTGCCTTTTAATCATGCGTATCTCTATAACCGATTCATGTCAGTCAGTCCTAGGTACTTCTAGATGCTAATTAAAATAATCTTAAATTCAAGTGGGCATGAGAATCCACTAGGGATATAGTTCAAAATGCAATTACCAGAGATTCCCCACAATGGAATGGGGCCCATGAACTAGGATTTCAACAACCCCCTCAGGCAATCCTGATGGGGGTGGGCCACAGACCCACTTTGGAAACACTGCTTGTAACCATAGAATGAACTAGCCTTATTCCTAAAAAGTAAATTCTGATCTGACTGGTTACTTTAAATCACTGGCATTATCTAGTAACACAGATAGTGAATATCAGAACTCATGCACTCAGTCAACAAGTTAGTATTACTTGGACATGTATTGCTTTATAAATGAGAAGCAGTATCTAGACCATAAATGAACCACAGACTGTTCAACATCTAAAGATCTTTAAAGATTTAGCCTAAATGCAGAAACACCACTGACATGTGCAATCCCATGCAGAGAAAAGTGCTTTCAAACGCTCATTAATGAAGAAGCATTTCAGCAGAAAGTTAAATGTGTCCTTTAAAAGGACCAAGTCCAAGCCAAGGTTTAGCATTTAGCATTATATTAGAAAACTGACCCAAAACTAAAGTCTTCACATTAATAATTCCAAAGTTATCAATTTCCAAGAATTACCATTTCTGGCCTGAAAACTACCATGTCCATTTCCAGCCTGAAAAGATTCTTTTGTTCGGTCTGAAATACCTGAAAATAGCAGGATACATAATGAGGAACTAGAAAAACAAAGAAGTACCTTGCTAACTCTTGAACGTTGAATTTCCAGCGAGTGTCAGGTTCTCGGAATATAACTTCATAGTTATTTTCAAGTGCCTGATTTTTCAAAAGTACATAAAATATTGAAGACATGGTATGTATGTTTGGGAATGTTTATGCTGCCATTTCACATTTACTACAAATCCTTTCTACAATTCCTCTGTTTTACCAGTAATCCAAGGCCTGAGTTTATCTTAACAAGTACAGTTGGTTCATTTCCATGCTTAGCCACTCTCAGACTATATTATGGCTCCCAATGATAAATTTTGGTCCATTTTATCTACTATGTAGGAAAATTATAAACGTTCTTTGTTTTGGGACATTTTTAAAAAATAGATAGCTGGACTAGTTTTAAATATCCTATTCACAGGTATGAGAAATACATTCAGTGGCTTCTCAAAGTCCCTTATATGATTATCATAGAGTTTCTTCTGTCAAATGCCCTGTCCCATCCCTCACACCTTGGTTAGAAAGTCAGGGTGCCACAGGAACAGAGCTTATGAAATAAAAGTGATTTTCCCATACTCTTTACAAACTCTTCCCACCAAAGGGAGCTTTCCCCTCTGATGCAACACAGTTTGGCCCAGTGCACTGTGCCCCATTTTCCTCGAGTTTAGAAAATGATTACAGTTTCCATGTAAACATCCAGATATTTTTTGCATTCATAAATTGGCTACTACTTTTTTTAATCTCAAAATCTGAACTTTATTATCACTATTGTTTATTGTGTTCTAAAATACAGAATGAAAAGAGCAAAGTAAAAAGATTTCCTCTCCATTCTTGAGATGAACCCCTCTAATTAGAGAAGGATTCAAATATCATAAGTGGAAAATACCTAATTTCTGGGTCTTACTAATAGCTGTGGATGGCTGAAAAAGATTGTACATTCCAGATAATAAAAAATAAAAAAGTAAAATATCTTCCCTTAAGCCACTCTCCCGCTAACTCTTGGTTTTGAGTTGTGCCTTGATTAGACTATTCATGTCCTTGTTCATTTCTCTCCCAAGTGGACTTTTGGTCCATGAACTGAAGTAACCACAAAGCTGATGTTCATTCCTTCCTACTCGCGAACCCAAAGTCCCACAGGCTGGGCCCAAGTAAACCTGATGGACGTGCAGTTCGAGAAAAGCGCACCTATATGGAAGCTAGTTTGCCCCCAAATTAAAAAGAAGTCACAAGTCCCGTTTTGGAGATATTCCTTTTACAGTTAGCCTAGTGGGGATTGTGTGTGACAAAATCAGACTACTCAGCTGTCTTCTTCCTGCCCTGTGTGTTTCAGGATCTTTTCTCCTGTCTATATACCCAATAAGAAGTGAAAATGTATTACCATAAGAGATGAAATATGTCTGAAAAAAAATCAGACATATTTCAAAATTAAAAATATGCACAATGTTTTATTCATCTTACTGTTCTTTCCTATTCTGACAATAGAGAGCCGAGTTGTTATCTTTGTATATTTATATTCTAGTATCCTAATAGGGTTACAGTGCTAATTCTCAATCTGTTTTTAAACCAAAAAAAAAATTGCCCAGACTCTCCCACACCAGTACCGCCCAGCACTGAAATCCCTGGCTTGCCAAAGACAGAAAGGTCGTCTTATTATCAACCACTCGGCTAGTAGCGTTGTCCAACCAGTATTTCTGTGCAAGTCTCAGAGGGTGCTCCTGGGCATGTATGTCTCCCCTTGGGAAAACAATCAAGACAGAAAAACTATCAAGAATTCAGACCAAGGACAATTTAAAAACGTACCCTGAGGTGATAATTAGCATCTCAGTGAATTTCAGCCATTGAACAACCGAAAAACACTAAAATTAAACCTCTTTACCTGCGCCCTGAGAGAGCTACGATTAATAAAGATGAGATCATGGCAGATCAGAAGAAGAGGAAAGAACAAATGTTGCAACTTTCTCACAAAATGTCCGTAACTGAAAATTCGGAATGATGCTTCTTCCTACCATGACTGCATAGGGCTTCATTTCCCAGGCGTGGAGGTTGGTATTATCAATAATAATGGGGGATATGCCATTCCTCATTGCTTTTCTGGCTGCAACACAATGTTACAGAACAGTGAACAACATGCAACAATCAGAACGGTGAGCGTACTCCATATTTTGTTATTTTTTATCACAGCTGTCCTCATTACACAACTTTAGTGCCACATATTTCAGAACCCATTACCAATCATTTTCTTTTTCCTGGAATCTAGGAAGGTTATGCTCTGACATTCTGTTTAGGGGGGGAAATGGCAGAACTTTTGATTACGCTCCTTCTAGAAAACGTATTCATTCTGCAGCAGCTACTATCTATGTGCACGATAGGATTTCCCGGGGAATTTGGAAAGGAATTTGTCACCTCTTTTCTGGTTCCACTCATGCGCTTCCTCCAGGAAGTCAGGATTGAACTCATAGGCACCGTCTTCCCTGAAGAAAAAATCATCCGTGCTGAAAATCAGGGCCCTGGGAAAGTCGTGTTGCAATTGTCTAGAAAGTGGGGAAATAAGAGATTGCTTTATGACTAATCACAGCCATTATAGATTATTTCCTTCCATCTCTAACATTTAGCGGTTTGTAATTATGAGGCCACCAGGTTGCGTGTTGTTGAAATTCAATTTAAGGAGAGAGATGCTTATCATCTCTAGAAGGTACCAGTCCTCCACAGGAGGCTGTGTGTGCGGCCCAACTCCTAAAACTCAGAAGTGTGGTCACCGCATTGACTTCTGCAGCACGAAGACTGACTCTAGATCGGGAGGTTAGGAGAAGGCGTGACGACAGCCTCCTCGTGGGCACTAGTCCTCATTGCCTGTTGTGCAGGGATGCACGAGTGCACCGCCCCCAGGCCCGCCCCCGCTGCCGGCCCCCAGACGGCAGCCCGGCCCTCCCCCCCATCTCTCACCTGTCCCGGGTCCCAGCTCCTTGGAGCTCTGGTCTCTGTAATGACCCATCTGAGACACTAGTTCTTGCTGAGGTATGAGAGGTGGATAGAAGGGCTGCATGTGCGTGCAACCCTCATCCAGGTAACAGTTTACATCTTAACAGTGACCTACACCAAATGGGAACAAGCACACTGGAAGGCAAGAGGTACAGCCGGCCTTCCCCAGGACTTCTTAAACTACTCCCACACTCTCGAAATATGAAAATATCACAGAAAAAAGGAAAACATCATGGAGTGCCCCCTTTAAAACAAAACAAAACCAACAAAAAAGCATATTAAATTCTGCACAAAATCACTTCCAAGGGCAGATATTTCCACTTGAAATCCTTATTCAGACAACTTGGGGGGAGAAGATGGATGCGAAGGTGGGTAGTAACTGGGTAAATCTCTGAGCCTCCTCTCGTCATCTGTAGAAACGAAGGATGATTTCACCTGTCCTGCTAGGTCACCACACTGATCCGATAACATGGGGATAATCACGGTGCAGCGCCCGACACGAGTGTCCGTTTCTTTCCTTCGTCCCTGCGGCACCAAAACAAATTCCGCACGCACGCAGAACATATGACCGAACGGGTATGCTCAGAACACAAAGAGGGGCGGGGGAGAATAAAAAGGAGAAAGCTTGGAGGAAAAAAGGTTGGAGAATGACAAGAACAGGAAATGCAAGGAGAAAGCAGAGCTGTTCAACTGGTGGTGTGTGTTTGTCCTTCTCCGTGAGAAAAGCTCTCTTTAATCAGGAGTGAGCAGAATGCGCCTAAGGCACCAGAGCCCAGATCCTAAACAAGCTTCTAAATTGTTCTGAAAGGCTTGGGTTCAGTTCTTGACTCTTCCATACCCAGTCAGGTGACCCCTCTCTCTAAGCTATTTCCCTGACTGAAAACCACAGATAAGCATCACTACCTACCCACCTACCTATCATTTGACTGAAGTGCGGATGAGATCAGATCTGGGGAAACATTTTGCAAATAGTGAGGCACTTTAACAGTGTAAAGTACTATTACTGTATTAATAGTTATGACGCATGAGATCAAATTTACCAACCCCAGCTGTTGATGTGCCACAGTAGTGAAATACGCCGGAGTGTGTATGTAATCTTGAAATTACTGCAAGTGAATTCATATGGCTGTGAATGAAAGAGATGAAAAACCAAAATAAAGCAAACGCCTCAATGTTCAGGAATGAGTGAACACATTCCAGAAACAGGAAACAAACATCTCTGTCAAAATTCTTCAGCAGGCTTGATGGCATTCAAAAAGAAAGCAGCAGCATAGCTGATGGGCTGAGTTGGGAAACAGGGAAAAATTCAACGGACAGAATCTTATATCTTGATTTAGCCAGGAATCTGATGGTCTCTCTTAATGGCCTTGTGGAAAAATGTAGACGAGAAGATAATGTATTTTAATACCCAGAGAATATTAGATAATTATCCAACTCATTAAACATTTACTAAGCATTTAATATATGCCAAGTACTGGGTGAAGTGTTAAGGCACAAAAAGAAAACAAAATAGCTGTTTTCAAGGAATTCAGAGCCTAGCCAAGGAGCCAGACACAGCGGACCTAACAGTGTAAAGAGCTGTACGGATGAAGGACAAGAGACTTTGGGGTCGGGAACAAGTTCAGACAGGGAAGCATTATAAAGGCGACACCAGTGGACTTGGATCCTGAGACATGAGAAAACTCCGCCGCTGGGGGAGGGGGTTAAAAGCACAAGAGGTAAAGCTCCTGCTTCGGGGGCTTGTTATGAGAAAGGAGCTCTAGGGAAAAACCAGAGCGAGTAAAAGGGGCAAATCGTATTTGCAGCGGTTTTCCATTCTGAGTGCTACACAATGTAAAGAGAGATTTGGCAAGCTGGACTATGTCCAGAGAAGAGTGACCAGGTCAGTGTAAGGTCTGAAAAGCATGGAAACCGTATGAGATGAGAAGAGATCACCTAAGGGATGTGGGGTGTTTAAAGTGGGAACAGATGATCAAAGTGATTCACGATGGTGCTCCCATCCCAGGAAGCCTGTTGCCGGGAAAGGTAATGAACTGAGTTCATGGATCAGCAGTTTGGGTTGGGCGCTTGGGGGCTGTCCTGCCCATCCTGCCTGGGACCTGCCCGGGATCGTTCCTGCAGCCACAATCCTCTGACAGGGGAGGGGCTGAGTGGTCTCCGCCGGCCTCCTCCATAGACGAGTCTGCTGACTGCCGGCCCCGCCTCTCAGCCCCTGTGGTCTCTCAGCCTCAGGGGGGTCAACCCGGGCACTTCACCAACCGCAGTAGTTCAGAGGGCAGGAGTGCAAGCTGCTAGGCTTCCACCACGTTCTGCTGGTCAAAGCAAGTCGCTGTGCTGGCCCCCAGTGAAAGCGGAGGGAACTAAACCATGGGAGAGGTGGCAAGGAAATGTAGCCACTTAAACTCCACCACGGGTACACCGTGACACAAAAGTATAAAGGAGATTTGATGAAACAAATCTGCCTCGTTTCCATATACATGTCTTTTATTTGACTTTAAAGATACTCAAACTGAAAAGCCCAAATCATAAATCCAAACTTTAACCTCCAAGGCAAACAATTATTATGATGACACCTTAGAAAAAAATCTAAAGGCAGCACTAAGTGCATGTGTATTTTATATTTGTGAATATTTTACAGTTTCTAAAGTATTTTCATCAGTGTTACCTAATCTAAATAATGAAAGCTGCATTCAGAGGTTAAATAGCAGTGTATAACTTACTTTCCTTATCTTTGTATATACTAAGTTAAGCAAAGTTACGGATATTGGTTCCAAGAGTTGTTTTTTTTTTTCTTCTTTTTGGTCCCAGATTTGATATCCCTTCTAAATCTCGTTTGTTTTCCTATTAGGTTTGCCATTCATAGGTTTCGATGTGGTCTTTTACCATTTTCAGAGTTGAATTTTTCTTCTCCTGTACATAGGCTTGTCTACTCTTGTTTTCCTCTTTATGGCTTATGTTATCTAGTGGAAGTTAATATTCTCACTCTCTGATGTTTCCTTTAAAAAAAGCTTTAAGACATGAGTATCCAATTCACATTTTATTTCAATCCTATTTCCTTTTAGAAAACAAAGCATAGGGGCGCCTGGGTGGCTCAGATGATTGGGTGTTTGCCTTCAGCTCAGGTCATGATCTCCAGGTCCTGGGATCGAGCCCCACATCAGGCTCCTGGCTGGCTCAGCGGGGAGCCTGCTTCTCCCTCTGCCTCTCCCCCTGCTTGTGTGCCCTCTCTGTCTCTCTCTCAAATGAATAAATAAAATCTTAAAAAAAAAAGAAAGAACACACACACACAACAAAGAAACTACTGCCCTCCTTAATTGTAAAATTCTGCCTTAGAGTAAAAGTTAAATTGTTCAGGGCCATCATGGGGCTAGACCACCTGCTCATCATTCCCTAAGAGATATCTGACTGTAGCCTAACTGGTCCTCCTAACCAACAGGCATGCAAAAATATGAGTGTTTTTCACCTTTACAGCTCTCACGGATCCTGCGGAGGCTAGGGGGAGTAGGAGGTTTGTATGATCTTCCTGAATGATCATTCCTTTCAAAACCTTGTGTTTATCTTCAGCTCAATGTTAAATTAGCACTGGCAGGTACAGTAGCATCTGGAATCTGCAGGACAATAAAAGCTCTCCGAGCTACATAAGAACTGATGAAATAGACAAATCGTGAATTTCTCAAACTTAGGTGGAAGCAATAAATAACATTCCATCAGCTTCAGAAGTAATGAAGACAATGCATCAGGTCTAGCTTTCTTTATGGTGGTCAAGAGCCTCATGCATTGGGGAAATTGAGAGGATGAAAATAAGAGAAAAGGAAAAAAATAGAAAGACAATTACTTCCATGTAACCACTACCACAGCTCTCCCCTCCCATGCAACTCACTTAAAATCACTGCTATGAGAGAAATTCAGGTACTAATCTTGATTTCACAACTTACCACTCTTCTGTGCAATTCTTATGTATACCCATGGGAACATATTTAGATATCTATTGGTCACTCACTCCCTGACAAAGTCCAATGTTACTGTGTAATTTTGAGTTGCACCCCCAACTTTTCTATGGAAGTTTCCCAACATGCAAAAGTAGACAGGATAATACAATCACTCCCTATGGACCCATGACCCAGGCTCAATAATTATCACAGCAAGGGTGCCTGGGTGGCTCAGTTGGTAAAGCATCTGATTCTTGATTTTGGCTCAGGTCATGATCTCAGCATTGTGAGATCAAGATCAAGATCCGCAGAGGGCTCCGTGTTGGGGGTGGAACCTGCTTGAGATTCTCTCTCTCTCTCTCTCTCTGCCTCTGCCCCTCCCTCCTGCACACGTGCTCGCTCTCTCAAAAAAAAAAAAAAATTATCATAGCCAGTCTTATTTCACCTGCTTCATACTTCATTTCACCAAACATCCCGCCAGTGTTCAGATTTCCCGGATTCTCTCATAAATGTGTCCCTAGGGTTGATTTGTTGGAAGCGAGAGCCAACAAGATCCACACATTGTACCTGGATGCCATGTCCCTTACGTCTCATGTATTTCACTCTTCTCTCTCCTTTTTATT